CACACACACACACACACACACACACACACACACACACACACACACACTCACGCACATTGGTAGACTTCATGCAGGAGGAGCTGCAGTGGGCAAGTTTCCTGCAGATGGCCCACTGTTTTGCAAGGCTGCAATGGGTGTACCTTGGAGAGGCAGGGCCCCAGGGCTTCGTCTCTGGATTGCCTCTTGCTGCTGCTGTGCCTTCCCATGCTTGCCATTGCTGTATTCCTCATATACCTGGCATGGTGTGATTGGGCACAGGGAGACCCTCACTGCCTATAGTCTGGTGCGACTGTTTCCTGGGTGTTGGCCTACTCTGTTGGATAAATTGATCTACTCTGCAGATCAACATGAAGGAGTACTTTCATAAAATAATGCTGTTTAGATGAACTGGTGATTTTATAATTCCTGATAATAATTATGAACAATTCCTGATTTGATTCAAGTAATTTTAAGAAGTTAAAAAGTTAAGATAGTCTATAGAAAGTTAAAGTTAGAATCAAAAGTAGAATGTGCCTAATAGTAAAAGCTGAAAAAGAGTTCAGTGAGCCTTCATGCACTAGCAAGAAATATAGGCTTGGGACAAATTTATGATCAAGAAAATGTTCACTCTAGGACAGGTCCAGAGATGAGATCACAGGTCTCGGTATGCACCGTGATAAGAAAAGCCATGAATAAGAAGTGGGTAATTCTATTATGAATCTAAAAACAGAGAGTGGATGATTAGCTAGTTTAACCATACAAGACTTCAGAAATAAGACTAAGGAGATGACCTGCTTTCTGGTAAAAAACAAAAACAAAAACAAAACAAAACTTGCTAATAACCTATGACATTAAATCTATTACTTTGAACTTATAATGAGCATGTGGAACAGAAGATAGATAAAAATATTGCTTTGAAAGATAGATAAAGAATGTTTGGTTAGGTGTGAGTTTTGGTAGAAAAGCATGTGATCAATTATACTGCTGTAACTTCCTCTTGTGTAATGAGAAAATATGTAACCTATGGCTAGGAGGTGATTTTTCTTTTCTTTTTTTTTTTTTTTAAATATTTACTTATTGATACAGCATTCTGCCTGCCTCTGTACCTGTGCACCAGAACTCACTACAGATGGTTGTGAGCCACCCTGTGGGTGCTGGGAATTGAACTCAGGAAGAACAGCCAGAGTTCTTAACCTCTAAGCCATCTCTCTAGCCGCTAATTTTTTTTCTTACATAGAGAATGTTGTTTTAGAGAGTATAAAAGGCTAAGAGAAAAAAATAAAATGCTCCACCTACCATCCACCAAAATGTGTCTATGTCTGCACATCGATATCTTTCTGTCTGTCTGTTTGCATGTATGTATACACATACATATATATTATATATGTATATATATACGTACGTGTGTGTGAAGTTGTGGAAGTTTGCTGGAACTTGCTTGTTGGAGCCTGCTTGGCTTCATCCACCCAATGTGCGTGTGTGATATTTCCTTCTTTTTTCTCTCTACCATCTGGCCATCACCAGTGGCAGCGTACACCAGATGCCATCAGCTCCAGTCTCTCCCTGCTGGCCACTACCAGTGGCCTTCACAGCAGGGGCCATCAGCACTGGCTTTCCTCTCCTCTTCCCCTTTTAATTGCCGGCTGCTGTCAGCAGAAGCCCACCGCCAGGAGCAATCAGCTCCTAGCCCCTGAGGAGTTAACAGGGTTAAAGTTATAAGCAGCTCTGGCCTGGGCTTGTCACTCTCGGTGGAGGCCCCCATTAGTAACAACCAGTTCCGACCCAGAGAATCAAGCTTTTTTGCTGTCAGAAAAAAGACTGCTGGGCGATCAACCGCCAATTCTACACCTACTTCTTCAGTTTATCCTGACCTGTAGTGTTGAAGTGGGCCTTCAACATCATGTATGTATATTATACATGTATGTTACATATTATATGTGGATATAATATATGCTATATATTATATATATAGCATATATATATATGTATATATATTTTTTTTTGATGTTTTGCCTGCATGCATGTCTGGGTGAGGATGTCAGATACAGACAGTTGTGAGCTGCCATGTGGGTGCTGGGGATTGAACCTGGGTCCTCTGGAAGAACAGCCAGTGCTCTTAACCACTGATCCAATTTTTAAAAAATTAGATCTGGAGAGATGGCTCAGAGTGAAGTGCTCACATTACTCCTCCAAAGGATCTGAGTTTGATTCTCAGCACCAACATCAGGCAGTTCCCGCCTGCCTGTGCCTCCAGCTGCGAAGGACCATGCCTCTGGCCTCTGCATTCACCTCTATAGACACACATAGTTTAAAAACATCAAAATGATTCAAATATTTTTAAATTTTCATTTGGTATATTTATGCACATCTTTGTATGTGCACCGAGGCCAGAAGAAGGCTACTGCTTCCCAGGTGTGGAGGTACAGGTTGCTGTGAGTGCGTTGGTAGGTGCTGGGAATCGAACCCAGATCCTCCGAAAAAAGCAGCAAGCAAGCACTCTTAGCCACTGAGCCATTTCTCCAGCCTTTACCTGGAATTATTATTTTTTAAAAAACAGTGTGTGTGTGTTCGAGTCCATGTACCATAATGCACATGTGGAGGTCAGAGGACAATTTTGTGGGGTCATTTCTCTTCTTCCTTTATATGAGTTTCAGGGATCAACCTCAGGTCACTAGTCATTTTTTTTAAAGATTTATTTTATTTATTACATATATAATGTTCTGCCTGTATGCTAGCAGTGGGCACAGATCTCATTATAGATGGTTATGTGGTTGTTGGGAATTGAACTCGGGACTGCTGGAAGAACAGCCATCTCTCCAGCCCTTAGGTCTTGAGTGGTAACTGTCTCCATCTCACTTCCCAACCCCCCCCATCTGGAATTCTTGATTGGTAAATTTGTGATGATGAACCTTATTTGTACCAATGAGAAACTCTGCAGTCTCTACTGAACCTGGAGCCCTCTCAACCACACAGCACAAAACCCCTGACAAAAGCACAATAAATCTTCTCTTTTGGGGCCACATTTGCTAATGGTTAGCCTGAACTTTCCCACCAACTCCAGCAAGATTGTTTACAGAGGAGCTTAGCCTTGTCCTGGAATGGTGGCAGTCACCTTTAACTTCAGCACCTAGGAAGCAGAGGCAGGCAGATCTCTGTGAATTTGAAACCAGCTTGACCTAGGAAAGCAAGAACCAGGCCAGTCTGGACTACACCGAGAAATCCTGTCTCAAAGGAATGCAGAGGTTAGCCAGCTGTGACGCAGACGGAGGCAGGAAGACTGCTGTGGGTGTGAAGGCAGCTTGGACTACATTAGCAAGACTGTAATAAACTAAAAACTTGGGAGAGATGGCTCAGAGGTTAAGAGCACTGGCTGCTCTTCCAAAGGCCCTGAGTTCAACTCCCAGCACCCACATGGTGGCTCCCAACCATCTATGCCCTCTAATGCCCTCTTCTGGTACATGCATACATTGTCAGGCATAGTGGTTCATATCTTTAAGCCCACCAATCAGGAGGCAGAGGCAGGCAGATCTTGAGACCAGCCTGGTCTACAGAGTGAGCTCCAGGATAGCCAGGGATACACGGTGTGTGTGTGTGTGTGTGTGTGTGTGTGTGTGTGTGTGTGTGTGTG